TCTGTCCGTCTGTCCGTCTGTCTGTCCGTCTGTCTGTCCGTCTGTCTGTCCGTCTGTCTGTCCGTCTGTCTGTCTGTATGAACGCAAGGATCTCCGAAAGTATAAGAGCTAGAATAATCAAACTTGGTATACAGATTCTCCTGAGACCGAGAAAGGACGAGTTTATTCATTTTTTCTGATCCACCCCCCCACTCCCCCCCTATTAACGATTTTCTATAACTCCCGTAATTCTTTGAATTTTGTACTAAAATTTGGTAGTCACATTAGGTTAGTTAATTTATAACCGTATACCAAGTCTCATTATGATAGAATGATCGGAAAGAAAGTTATAGCCATATAACCAGGCCCAATGCACACATACATACATATGTACAAGTACACAGACACGCATAAGGCACGATTCTGATGTAAATGTAAATGTATGTATGCATGCATGGAATATTTTATATTTAATTTAGTTAATTAATTAAATTAATTTAGTTAATTAATTAAATTAAATTAATTAATTAATTTAATTACTTTTTTGTGGGGTGGTACAGGGTATTTAAGAGTTGAGCCTGCTCGACTTTAGCATTCCTTTCTTGTTTTATTTTACTATTATTCCCACGTACTTAAATTTTTCTGGCTGCTGTGCGATGGCGTTGTGCGATGTCGGACGAGAGATATGCACAGATATAAAGCAATTTTCTACGTAAATACTTTGTAATGGATTTAGTAAGTAGTAAAGTATGACGCGTTTGTGCCATCTAGAGCATGTCTGCGCATACACACAGCCTGTGTGTGTGGCAAGTCCTGCATTTGTAAGAATAAATATATATCTGTGCGTGTGTGTAAATGTTTGATATTGTAAATCTCTGCATATATATTTTTGCGCATCATATAATTGATGAAAAAGTATTACAACGATTTTCAGAGCATTTTTTTTCTCCTTTCCTGCCATAGCATACTTTTGTGCGCGAGCATGTGTGCATGTGTGTGTATGTGTGTGTGTGTGTGCTTTTATATAGCCTTAGTAAATGGAGCGTAGTGAGTGAATTATATTTAATGCTTTGTGTAATTTAAATATCATAAAACGTCGTACGTCTTGCGCATTCCCACACACACAAACACACAGACAACAACTCACGAAATAGGCTCATATGCTGGTATATAGCAGACAGAGCCAAATAATAATAATTTTGTTGTTCACTGCTAGCCAGAATATTTTTGTGGCTGGCTTGGCTACTACTGCCCAGTACTCGTACCATTGTTTGGTTATTGGTTATATATTGCAGATGCGCCAAAAAATATGCATTTTCGAGTGCGACAACAAATGGACAGAAATAGCCATAATAATAAATTAACCACAAAGAAAAAAGTTTTAAAGCAATGGCAAAACAGTTTTCTACATAAATATTATGGCTACGAATGCATTATTTGCTAAGGTAAATAAATTTCGATAATAATATCATCGAAGAGACTGGCGACTGTAACTTAAGGAACGACAAACCTAAGATTATGGTAGTCCTCCGCTCCTCCTCACATTTTAACGATTCAATAGCCAGCACCTCGCATACTTCATACCAGAAAATACCAGAACTCTACTAACCCCTGATTGATAGACAATTCTATATATAATACAAAGAAATCTTGCTTTTTCATTTCAATTAAAATAAGATATGTCAATGCATGTCAGCGTGGGCTTACAAGAGATTCGCGCCCAGCCAAGAGTGGCTTTAGTTAGATTTATTGGATAAATTGCTCAAAAAAGTACACCAAAATAAGTGCTCTAGAAAAATTGCTCTGTTCTGTATAGACAATTTCATAAATAATACAGTGAAAACTATCTAGGTCGGACATTCACAGTTGGGACACGCCGTGGCGCCCAGCCAAGAGGGGCTTTAGCAAGATTTATTGGATAAATTGCTTAGAAAAGTACACAAAAAAATAAATGCTTTAGAAAAATTTATCGCCACAGAGAGGTGTCTGGAGAAAAGAAGTCTCCATTTAGAAAGTTTTCGCTGCTTTTATTTTCAAAAAATCTAGATTATTTTCTAATCCTTGAATCGCTGCTATATATCAAGCACGACCAAGCGTTAAAGAATGCATCTTTCTAAAGCAAGGAAAGCTCTAAGGAGAACCTCATGTAGATGAGATGTGGATAGGAGATAGATAATAGTAGATAATGGTCGATAAAGTTACTCACCTGCCTTCCTAACGAGTGTTTTTCTTCTACCTGAAAAATGAATAAACGTAAGTAGAAATTATGCGTAACAGGCACCAAAAGTTTAAAATATAGGCAAACTACAATTCTGGCTCTTGCTAATATTATGAAAGATCTGATTTCATACAAATGGGCCGCATCCTTTCCCACTCATACACTGAACACTAAACCAGTAGCCGTCATCAATTCCCTACTCGGCCTCGACTTACATTCCTTTATTGTGTAAGTAAAAAACAATAACCTCATAGCATTTGTTGCGCCAACAACTTGATTAAAAAACCACAAAAACCTATTGAAGCTGTCCCCAAACACGCACACACACACACACACTCACACGAAGGCAAAAAATCTCATCGAATGTTTCGATTGTATTGTGGGCAACAAACTGTTTCAATATGGCACACCAATATTGGGACATGGAGGTCAGCCACTGGGTAATTTAAATGAAATGAACAACAAATCCACACACACACGCACACTCCTACGGTCTCAAACGAAAGCAGAAAAAGCTGCAACATTCGGCATGACATGTGCTACAAATGTGATAAAATAAAAATATAAATAAAACAGAATAACTCTTTTAAATGTCGAAGATTTTATACCCTTGGCTTGACTTTTTCTACAGAATGTTTGCAGGCAATAAAATACAATCAGTTCTTAACCAAATTAATGGAAAGTTTCTAAATAGGGGTTTCAAGGAATGTCTTTAATAAAATAAGATACAACAAATGAATGTGATTGTTATAGAATTTGAAATAAATTATAACGTAATTTAAGCTACAATTGCGAAGTAGAAGACATAGTAGTTGAAAAATTGATCTACTTTTATCAAATATTAAAACATTCCAGATTGTTCCATAATCTGATTGAATATCCGATTAAGCCGATACTAGTCGAATTGAAAGAAGTGTTTCCAGTTGCGTTAATTTATAGAGAAGAACCCTAAGTTTTGAAAAGAAGACAAGACCAGACCTAACTACCTTTAGCTGTATTTTAATGAGAATTTTCAAATTTGTGGGGCAGTTTTTTCTGAGTGTAGCTGCGTGGTCATTGGTCATATTAATATTACTATATTAAAGAAAGAAAGAAATTAATTCAAGAATAAAACAAAAATAATATTGTTAAAATATTTTGATATATTTTTCTAAAATTTGAAATAAATTAGAGAAGTTGAAGAATCCACTTTTATCGAATATCAAATTAATTGGGAACTTTACTCAGATAACATTGTTACAAAGATAACATTGTTAAAATATTTTGATATATTTTTGTAAAATTTCAAATAAATTAGAGAAGTAGAAGAGTCTATATTATCGAATATCATTAATAACACCATTGACTCCACAATATTTTAATTTGCAACTTTACTCAACAATACTACAAAGATAATATTGTTAAGATATTTTGAAACAATTCGATTACAAACAACATTTGACAGCTAATATGATTTTCTAAAGGGCATAACAAATAAATAGTTGCTGTAAATTGAAGTGAATGGCTCTATTTTTTCCTGACTCCGGATGATGGGAATAGAACGCATGACACTGTGGGTGTGCGTATTGCTTTTCAAATTGGTCATCGAACACCATAAAAAAAAAGCAATGATCATGGGTTCCAAACGACGTTAACAAATTGCTTTTGATATTTATTGAATTGGTAGTGATTTCACACTATTTCCATGTCATTGGCTAGAGGTACTATAAAATTGTAATTATTAAAAAGAAAAGAAATGTTTAGGCTTAACTAAAGCAGCACCACTGTTTCAAAATAATTAGTAATAGTACAAACTTTTTTATGGCAAATAGGATATTTGCATTGTCTATTAAAACTTTCCAGATATTCATAACACAATAATAGACTTTGTTACCCAATTTCTACACTTTAAATGGATGTTTTTAAAAGCAGTTTTAAAACATGTTGCCCTTTAAAGTTCTCTTATCGAAAATTGCCAACAGCTCTTCCATTTGCGATCGGTCATTACTTTAGTTTGTTTAAGAAATGGTTTCTCACTCAATGTTCAATATTTTCTAAGCCATTTTAAATAGAGTCTTACAATTCTTACAATAGATCATCTTAAGAAGAAGAAGAAACAAGCAAAGCGACTTTAATATTTTATATAAGGTTTTAATTAATTTTTTTATGGAAGCAGAAAACGTTTTAATTTCAATTTTTTGCATTTTTGAGCTACAAAGTTTATCTTAATGTTTTTATTTTAAATGCTAAATAATTTGAAGTAAAATTTATAATGTGAAGTCGTGCCCTTATAAACAATTAATTCATATATTCGATTGGGTATTGTATTCATACGATTTCCAATATAATTAAAGGAAATATTGGACCATGCGTGTTTTAAGCCTTCGACTAACTCCGCTTTAGTCAACCATCTTTATTTTGATAAGGAAATCTACTTTTTGGCTTTCGTTTTCACAGTCCGGGCTCTGTGAATCGGAGCATATAATAAAATAATGTCAGTTTTGTTACACTCAATTGATTATATAACCGTTTCATCTGTGTAGCTAAAAGATACCGCTTTCGTATGATTATAGTATTACAACAGCATTTTCATGATCAATAATTGGCAAATACTTTGAAGTGCTTTCATATAGAATAGGAAAGACAGCTTAAGGCAGAGTCTTCCAAGCGACAGAACATAAACATTAGGCGACTTTTTCTTTGAGTACCAAGGAAGTGCTGCCATCGTTTTTATAGAAAAACATAACTCTAGAATGAAACAAATCCATCATCAAAGGCTTTCATATTCTAGCAACTGGACCAAACGAATCGATCTACACATCCATAACTGTTAGTATGCATAATTTCTTGGTTAACATTTATTTATGTAATATTCAATGTTTACTTCTCCGACCTGCGTCTGCATCAGCAACTTGTATTGTCATTTGCACATACTTTAGGGGCACCTCAGAATAAAATCCTAACCAATTAATGCACTTTGGACACGGCCTCAAGCGGTCATCACCAAATGCATAAAGACTGTTCAGATTTCTGTAAAGCATGCAAATCGTAAGGCGCTATGCCATCGATAACTTCCTGAACTTACGTCGAATAGCAATTGCGCCACCACCAGCCAGCAAATAGCATCTTAGCGCAGGGGGTGTCCACCTGAAATTCTGTATGCGCGTGTTGTCCAAAGTTGTCACTACTTATGCCATATAATCGGGCAACACCCAACTGGGTTATTCGGTATTTTTCATTTTCAGAGCCAATGACAATAACTGGATAGTAGGCTTCACCCTTCTTACCCTTCCAGTTCTCTATTTCTATTTTGAGATGAAATTGTCGCGATGAGGTCAAACGATGAGCCTTCTCCAGGCCTAGCCAATAGTCCCCGTACAATTCACCGAAGCCCCACTTGTAATCGTCCCAATTACGCTGAAAATTCACAAATCCATTAATTCGCCTCTGCAGCACAATCCAACCCCTCGAGCAGGCGACGGTTATATGTTGATTTGTGTGGGGCAGCGTTATAACATCTGTATTTGCGTCCAATTTCTCGCAGTAATTTGGCTGCAATGATATTTTATTAAATGGTATCCCAGTATTTGAATTGTTCCTTTCACCGTTGCATTAACGGAGAACACCAAATGGAAAGTGAATAGCAGAAAGTGCAAGTTAAGCATACTACTGAAGCTATGGCTAGAGACTTGTTACACATCGATTTGTAGAATGCATTTTATTTGCCGTTTTGCTTCTTAATTAACGATGACTAATTCAATGTAATGCTGCATTAATCACAGTATTAATATACGGACAATAATTAAATGATTTAGATGAGCTGTTCTATACATTCTTCGCTTACCATTTGGCCCGATAGTCAGCAAAGTAAATTTATTTATTTATTTAGTATATCAACAATAGTTCTGTCGATTACAATAATTAATATATATTTTAACATTTTATATATATTAAAATAAAAAAAATTATGATATAACATAATATAACATTATAATCTCAACTTAAAAGATATGAAAGCCAGAGAAAAAACTGTACAATAACGTCTATTAATGCCTTCAAATGAAATGCCTAAAACTGCAGAAGAAAATCAAGTTTTAGATAAAATACAATGAGCGGAAGAAAGGTTAAAGACAATATTAGAATAGAATATTCTACGAAAACGCCTTAATTAGAGCTCAGAATTTCTTCTCAGTAGTGGAATTCAAAGAAAAGATATAGAACCCTTACATACTTTGCCTCCCATCATAATAATCATGAACAAATTGCACTACCTTTTATGAAAGTAGCAAAAACCCAAAACCTGCAAAAAAAATCTGAAATCATCAAGGAATCGTCACAGCCCATTAGGACTTCTGCAGACCCCATAAGAAACTTGAATCCCTCGCAGCAGCTCATACAGCATACTGGCTCCTTAAGCTACCCCTAACGACCTTCCGAGCCCGATAATATTTAGCGCCAACATCAAATATAAATAACCACCTATTTAAGCTAAGCCTTTAAGCCAATCTTTTGTGATTTCGAACCCTTTGTTGCTCCTTAACAAAATAAACTGAAACCAATTAGTTGCTTAAAAACACTCTTCAATTGTTACCACGAAAAAGTAGTTGAATAGAATGAAGTCATATACTGAAGCTTTTCCACAATTGTCATAAATTTCAATGTTTTAAAATAAACCATTTATCATGAAATTGTCCAATAAGAACTTTCACAAAATTTGCAAAGATGCTGGTATTGATGTTACGACATTGTCCTGGCGTCAACAAATTGAAATCCTAACAGTTCTCCTCAGCTGGATACCCTTGCTAATGGGAGCATATCATATGGGCGTCTATTGTGTGGATGGCATAGTGTCGGTGTTGTTTGGTGTTAAAGAAATAGTGATCCTGACAATCGAGCTATTCTTTTAAGCCCTGATTCAACCCATTTTGCAATAAAAATAAGAAGGGAATGGTAACCGTTTTCTTTGCTGCGTAAACAAAAACTTTGTAAACTTTTTCGAATATTTTGATATAAACATTTTTCTAAGAATCTTAGACATCAATGCACAAATTTATATGCCGTTAAATGCTACTCTATAATTTTTCTTAAAAGCCAAAGATTTTACAAAAATTACATTTTACAATTTATTTTTAGTTATCTGCAAACACAATTCCTTATTGTTTGGCTTGAGGCAGCAACAATTTTGTGGCTGCTGCACATTTTATCGTTTGGTGAGCCTATATTGTGCGCACGTTCTATTAAAAATAACAAATCCCTAAATGCGGCACTCAAAATTCAATTAAAACTCTGACACACAAGCGCCAACAGATTTACAAAATCCATAACAAGAACAATCACACACATACTTGTACACAGGCACAGGAACAGGCACAAACCCTATATTGCAGAGTAAGAGGAAATGCTGAATGAAAAAGCAAACTGAGAGAGTGTGGCATTTGAAATGCCAAAAAAGTTGTATATATATCTGCTTAATATAGCAAAGTTGGAGACTTTAACTAATTCCAGCCATTATTCGTTTATACTTTTCGTATTTTATTTTATTATATACTCCGTATACTCCTGTGCTTATTTCAGTTTAATCTGAAGAAGAGATGTGTATATGCATAAGAATATTTAAATTGAACATTTTCCCTTCAGCGTGAAGCGAAACCATATTTTCCAAACAAACTACCTATCCATTTCTGATCCAATAACACTCCTCGCAGCATCAAACTTCATTCCAGTCATAATTTTTGGTTCCAAGAATTTTGACATGAAATCTACTTTAAATAAATCAATGAAAAAGTTGAACGTATCTTTAAAAATCTATAGTGTACAGATGTTTGGAAGCCGCTGTTGCGAACATAGTCGACGCTTGAAATTATTAAAAATCCATTTACATATATTGTTTTTAAAGCTTAAGCTTGCAACATCTATAATGTAGATGTAGATTTTTTGTTTCAAAATCTTGTTTATTGATTATTTTGTTGCTATATAGTAAGTATATGATGATGTTGAAGCCCTCGGGGCCAACTAAATATTTCAATAGGTGGCAAATGCAAGAGAAGTAAAAAAAACTTTTTAAATGAAGCTTATATACGTATATATAAGTATGGTCTTAGTTCGTGGCACATGATTGAAGAGAAATAATGTTTTGTTTCATGCCACAGTGAAGGGCATATATCTTAGATCTTAGATACTGTAGAAATAATCTTTACGGGCATTAGAAGCTCCTGTCCTTTTCATGAATAAGAAAAACAGTGCAAATAATTGCTTTCAAAATGCTTTCAAACATGACCATAATCTCTCTATATACATATAGTCGTATATGTCATAATGTTTGGCAACCATATTCTGCATAAACTTGGCAACATTGGCACAACAACAAATCTTAATGGCTGCCAATGTGGCTTATCGCATGCTGAACATAAATTCTAAATGCTTATTGGCCAACAAATGCCAATTGCAAATCAAAGAATGTCAAGGAAAATAGCAAAAAAAAAAAAACAAAAAAAAAAGAGAAAAAGGAAAGAAAAACTTTTGTTAAATGTCATTTACAGGTTCCAAGTGGGCAGCTGGAAAACCACTTAAACTTTCAAAATTGCCAACAAGCGAATGGCACACAATTCATGTTTTATGACATTTGCAGTCTGCACGGGGACCAACATGGCTGCCAACAACAGAAATTTGCAAGCTGCAGTGTTTACGATGGGGCGAAAGACTGTGAAGAAAAACGCCAACGAAAATGCAATAAGTGCACACAGAAAACTTTGCCTTCGGCTCCTTTTTACATGTCTGGGCTCTCGGCTCTCGACTCTTGTAGGGAAATGTGCCAGAGGTAGCCGCCAGCATACAAATGTCATTAGGGGTGTTGCTGCTAGAAATGGACGGATGACGTGACTGAAGTCAGACTTTGAACATACTGTTAAACTATATTTGCTTTTTTTCGATTCTATCACTTGAAGAAGACAGTATCAAGATTTGACCTTTTTTTTATAAATGTAAAACTTTAATTCTACTGTTGTTATTTACAACAACTTAAATTAAACTTATAGAAAAATACAAATACAGCTTAAACTACTTGTAGGAGTTTAGTCTTATTTAATTATTTATACTTTATATAAATCTATTGGCAAGATCAGCGGGGTGTGACCTCTTCAGACTCCTTCTTACTAATCTTCTTCTATTTCCACTGGATATTTTGTTTTTTTTTTACAAAAATAATTTATTTTAGAAAAACATCTAAGCTTAGAAGAGCTTTGTTTTGATCTTGGATCAATATTTATTATAGCTATACATATTTATTCATTTCATAGCAACACACATTTTTAATGCTTTCATAAAATTTTTTCATAAATGTTTTTTACCCTAAGATAGGAAACATGACTCTAACCGCAAAAATTACTCTGTATCGCTTACCTTATCTTAGATCAATATTTATTATAGTTATAAATATTAACATAAGACAACACTTTACTAGCTGGTCTATGTGGGAATGCCAATGGTGGCTCACCGATTTCACCTAAATAAACCTAATAGTATTTTTAAGAAATACACACAATTCAAACCTAAAAGTATTTCTACAACAAAGGCGAAAAACAACTAACTTGTAAGGTATATTTTTATTGTCTGATACCCGAAATATAATAAATCTATATATATAAAAATCAATGCCACTTTTCGTTGTAATTTTATAACTCAAGAACGGGCTCAGCTATCCAAACCAAATGTTTAGGCTTTGTTCGGACTATTTAGTAGATGGTTTATGTGAAGTTTGCACAAAATCGGTCGAGCGGTTCTTTATTTATCAACTTTTTTGTAACAAATGAATTCAATAAATGGCGGATTGGGATTTTGCTGTCAAATTGAAACTTTTTCCGATGGGAATTGTGGTGTACATTTGGAGGAATCATGTTTTCCACTTGGCCAACTTTATGTTGCCTATTCCAGAGTCGGTACCGCCAGCCTAAATAAACGGCTCAAAACGGCTTCATGCTCAAAATGGAAAGACAAAAAATATTGTTTATCCAAATGATTTGGATTTTTAAAACATATAGCAATTAATAAAATATTTTTTTGTTTAAATAAATGAATTTGATGTTCCATTTACATTTTTTTATTATTTCACTTTATAAGTAGCTAGTACAATATAAATATATTAGTACGTCTATAATACAAAACAGTTGGCGTATTGGCGCTAGAAAGTATTTATCGTATAAACGTTAGCCTGCCTTCACTTTGTCACGCACCCATCTCAAGTCGCTGCTGTTGCATGCATCATCATAGGAGTCTTTGTGTTGCCTACTTCTGGGGGCCGCCTGTGATGTAATGTGCGCAGAGTCGTGACATTTCTGCAGCCATTTTGGACAGCTGTTTCTTTTGGGGTTTTTGTGGCTGTTAAGTATGCTTCATTGTGTGTTTTTTTTTTCCTTTTTTGATACAAATCGCACACATTTAACACGCCGGCTGTTAGACATCTTTAATGGTCAGCTGGAAGGCTGCAATGCGAATTGTTTAACATCCGGTCTATGTATGTTTGTACAAGTATGTGTATACGCAAAGTGGAGCACACACACACATCGGCCTCCAGTTTCGACGGCGAACAAAGCAAAACACAAATTGAGCAAATTCCTAACAAATTGGAATTTGGTTTAGTTTTCTTTGCGCTCAGCATTGAGGGCGATTTCTTTTCCTTTTTCATTTCGCGAAATATGCGCACATTTTTCTTTTTTCCTTCATCGTTTTTTTTGCTCTGTTTGTTTTTTGTTGTTTGTATAAAAGCTGCCATTGCCCGTTTTTGTTTTTGCCACATTTCCACGCAAGATTTCGTCTCAAATATGCGCTGCCATTATGATTATTTCTACATTGCGTTTTCCCTCGTTTTTCTTCGATTTTTTTCACCCCCCCCCCCCCCCCCCCCCCCTTCCATCACCACAGCACTTTGAAAAATGACACTTTACAACAGTTGTAATTTGTTTTTGCTGCTGCTCTGCCCTCTGGTCAACATACACACTCGCTTATATTAGTTTCGATATGTGTTTGTGTGTGTGTGTGTGGTTGAATCTTGGTTATTGCATTTTTGTTGTACGGAATGCGTTGCCCCACAACAATAAACAAAAACAACAAACTATTTGTTTTTGCAAATTGTGGGTGTCAATGTGATTTGTTGCTATAAACGATGTGGCCGATGCTGGGGCATCAAATTTGATGCAATTTTTGTGGAAGCTTTTGTGATTGGTTGCTTTTGGGGCGAGTGGAGCACTCGAGAAAAAAAGGACAGTACAAGAAAATATGTAACAATGCAGGGAGATACGAAACTGGAATTGATTTGCTAAGCTCTCTCATATCACAGTATTCTACAAATAGTACAATATTTTAAAAATAAAATACAATACGTGCTGATTTATGTATAAAAGAACTAAGAATATGAACATAAAACAATTAATTAAATATATTTAATTTCAGTCATCTTTATACATAGATTTATTATTTTGTGTTGCATTATATTGTATTTAATAGCAAATTTAATTATTCTGGCAACAATTCAGTTTCCCTTCCCAAGTTTTGCAAACGGACCCAGAAAATTACCATTAAAGAAACCAACATTTTATAATTTGAAGACCACCAATAGCCAAAGATTAGTTTGTTAGCTAATTAAATAACTTAATTAATTAATATTTGCATGCCCTGCATATATCTTTGTTGGTGATATCCGCCATTTTCACGTCTATAGTGCATCGTAAATACAATAGACCAGAACATAAATAAATAAACTCTTTTTTTGGAGTAGACAGTAGTATATAAACAATAGCACATTTGATCGAGATTGCATTCGTCATTGTTTAAAAACTTTCTTAGTAGAACAAACTGATCTTAATCGTCGTCTTTTTATTTGTCAGAAGTTCTTTAACGGACATTTGTTCGGCTTACATCGTTATATATCGTCCTTAAGGATGTATCGTCACGTTATTATCGTAGGCTAGCTTATCTCTTAGGAAATGAAATTGAATAAATCACATTATTGGTGCTTGAACTATCTCTTGTCTCGCTGCTT